TTGAGCACACCTGAGTGACAATCCCCAAATGCTTAGCATACTGCCCAGCAGTATGATTCAGTATCGTCTTTTACATGATATAATTCCAAGAATTCAAACATAATTTATAACATTCAGCTAAGTATAAAACCACAATAATAAATCAAAGTTTTCCTCATGCCAAAATATGAGTTTTTTCCTTCCTCCAACTTCAGTTAGAAGCAACTAAGCCTGTGACAATACAAAGCTATAGAAGGCAGAGTGACAGTCTCAGCCATATTTGCATAAATAGCAGTTTCAATGTAACAGTCACTTGTATCAAATGTATTTGTGCCAGAATTCATGTGCTACATGTAAGCAAAAAGATCTTTCCTAGTGGTGGAAAACAAAAAAACCATTGTCAGTACTTTACTCAGAATCATTAAAATAATAGTTTATTTTCCTTCACATGTTTTGATCACATGTTCAGAAATCCAATCTCTAATAGCAGATTTTGTCTTCTTCCAGATTCTCAGGATAGACACAAGAAAAGTCATGCGGATTTGTATGGGAAGGGTAGCTGTATCCCAACATGAAGTTTTTTGGTACTTTTTGTTTGGTGCAAGCCCTCTGCCAGAAAAAAAAAATCCAGTAAGACACTGGGCATACTTTCCTCTTCAACCAGCAATTCCTTTGTTCTATAAAGATCCCACTTGGCTGCTCTCCAGGTATCATTTTCACTTCGCCTGTGGTTTCTTCCACCCTGTGAACCAGCCTGATGGAGGGATTCCTTTAGGAATCTGATATTAACCTGGAGATTCCTGTCCTAATGTTTCATGCTCTAACTACTTAGCTGCACTGCTACACACATCCAATAATCTCTCCATACTTCCCAGAAAGGACTACATCTAGAAGAACTATCAGTAACTCTATTACAGAAACTAAATGAAAGGAGCAGGAATTACCAGGGTTATTCAGAAGATCTTCTCATTCACTACATGGCACTGAAGAGGAAAGAACATAAATATTGCTGCCCATATTCTCTGGAAAAAGAAGGCTCACATTTCACAGGCTATCTTTTTCACTATCAGACAAAAGGAACCTCATCAGCTGCTCACACCACAGAACTCTTGCTATCTCTTTACAAAACCAAAAGGAGAGACTGGAATAAGGCGCAGAGCTTCAAACAGGAGATTGTAAAGTGGAAAGCAGGAAGCATTCCTTCTTTTAAAGTACTTTTACCCTCATCATATATTATTTTTGTCTTTGAACTTAGAGTAGATTGATTAATTTTTTTCCTCTTTAACAGGTCAGTTTGTTACAGTGCTTACCTTAACATCCTTAAGACCACACATGTGACTGAAAATCGGAGGTATTTTCAGTAGGCAGAGGCCCTAAAGAATATACAATGAAATCCCACTTCCTCAAATGTAAAACATACTTTCTAAGCCATACTGAAATGTGCATTAAGATTAAAAAAAAACAAGCAAACATACCATAACGAGCACTGTTGAAAGTACCTGCAAGAGTCCTACATGAAGAATTATCACCACCACAGATTCCACATTTGTCTCTCCTTGCCTTGGAATTCAAAACGTGATCACAGCCTGCTTGCTATAAAAAAAATGTAACAGCTCTGTGTCACTCAGCCCAAGGGAAAATAATGAAAACAATGTAAGCTTCCCACTCCCCCAAAATATTCTTATTTACTGTATATATCTGGTCTTCCTAGATAACTAGTGAAAAACTTGGTATGGTTTTGGGTGCTGTGATGTAACAAAAAACCCCCCAATAGTGCTGCTGTACTAAGAATGTACAATCCAAAGGCACTGATGTGTGTCAAGAGCTGTGTAAGAATATATAGCAGTATGTAAAGATGTTTCATAAAAAATCAACATAGTATATAAATGTTAAGTTATATTTACACTAAGAAATCTTAAAATCCTAAAAGCAGTATGTATGTGTACATGGTCATCAATTCTTTTCAAGTCTGTCATTAACGCAAAATAAGCAAAGGAACACATGTAGGTTATGCTGGTTAAACTAGCTTAAGCACAATTTTTGTTTATGTATCTTTACCTAAACTTCCACTTTTTTAAAATTATGATAAACAGGACAACTCTGTGGCATTTCCTCTTTCCTCTTGATTCGACACTATAAAGAATGTAAAATATTTTATTATGTTTTCTCCTCCTCAGAGTTTACTCAGTTTCACTGCAATCAGCAAAACAACCGAGGCTTGACAAAAAGGTCTTGAATTATATCAGCTTGCTTCTCCCAACAAAATCTTGTTGCACTTCCATAATTGCTATTTAAGAAAAAATGCTGAAATTATCCCTTTGAAGGATCAGTTCCCCTGACTCTCCAATGAAATAATAAACATATAATCTATCTTGCCTTGGATTTTCTATTTTTACATCTTTGATAGCAGAAATATGATGTTAATAACCACACAGCATGCTTCTTGCCTCTCTTCATGCAAATTTTGGATCAGTTTCTGTCTGCTCTCTTGGACAATATTAACTCTGTCACATATGAGACTTAATGAGGAAAGACTGTGAGTCTTCAGATTCAGAATTGTATGTTCTTCACTTAATTGCCTCCATTTCAAACCTTTAATTTGGTAGGGATTAAAACAACTTAAGTAAATTCAAAACATCTTGCTTTACTTATTTTCAGTAATGGTTATTTGGATGAATAGTTAATATCTACTTTACCACCTGTTAAAATTTATTTAATATTAATTAATAAGTTTAGATTTAAATACCCTGCATAAGCCTTGAACACAAAGGTCATTGGTTTCTGCTCCACAGGGAGTACCATCAGCAACTCTGTCCTTCAGCTGATAGTAGGAAGTTGTTCCAGAAACTCGGCAAAAAAGTTTACAGCGATCTTTCATAGAAACTGGAAAGAAAATCCAACAGGTTTCTTGTCTGTTTTAAAACGTTAATTAAAGTAACATTTTTATTTCATTAATTGAAAAAAAATTATAATTACTTACTACCACTGTATTTTGGGAGCCAGCGAACAGCAGACGTAAGACCGTTGATATTGAAGTGTCTGCCATCGAATTCAGAGCACTGCTGCTCCCGGAAATCTTTTCTGCCTTTTGGACACGAATCAGTGTTACACGACCGAAATTTCATCCTGCGGCCAACACAGTACTTTCCTCCATTTCTTGGTCTAACAAAAACAGATAAACGTAAAATACACTCAGTTTCTAAAACTGCTGTTTTCCATGAAAAGTGTCTCTAGGCACTGATCTATAGGGGAAAATCGCACAGAGAATTCTGCTCTGTTTTACTTACTTGCCCCCACACACTCTTCTCTTGCACTGTGCAGATATTTATAATTATGTGCAGAACACAAAAAGTCTATTTAAAATACTACTGCTGAGAAGGATGGTAATCAAACTATTGATGTTTATTAAAGCCTATTATATTTTAACTTCTCTTATAATGATTTTGTAGGGAAAAAAACATTTAAGTTAATAATGCTTTTATCAATTTAGCTAGGATTACAGCCCTATTTTTACAGAAGCAGCCCGTCCCTTAGTAATCTGAAATTATTATTTTACAGAGTGACAAAGAAAGAAGACAGAGTTAGGACTTGACACACTTTTTTCTGTAGTCGTAATATCAGTTTCATTTTGGGGATCAAACAAACTAAAAATGGAAAATTGTGGTAAACACCCCATTTACTGTAAAGTTTAAAGCATATTTCCTAACTGTTATTAACTCAGTTACACAATAATTCAATATCAGTTAGGTTCTTGGAAAGGAGAAAAAAAAAAAGACTAAATCAGTGGCATATTGATACTATCAGTTACTACAGACTAATAGAGGTGTATCTAGAGGGAATCTAGTCTACTGCCTCTTACTCAGAGAAAATTAAATAATCTGGGGTTGTTCAACTGAGGTTCATTTTTCCCACTGATAATATCAAGATGACATGACTTCTTAGAAAACCCCTGAAACTATCCAGGCTGCTGATACAGTCTTGCTTCTGGAGAAGTTAAGGGTAAAGCTCTTATTAAATTTCATTACAGAGAATGAAATCCACATTGAGTTATTCAGTCAATAAAAGTTTCTCATTATAAAGCTAAGTTGTAAGTGACTGCTGTAACCAGTCTTCCTTGTGGGCGTTACTGGTGGTGGTGATGTGAAAAAGCCTTAAACTAAAGTAAATCAAGTGTTTCACTAAAAATATTACCAGGGAATACATATCTTTTATTCTTGCTACATTTACTCCAAAGGAAGCATCTTAACATTTAATGGAGCATTTGGAGTAAACCTAGAAAAAAAGATCCCGGCAAAGTAAGAATTTAGAAATATCTATAAATATGAACTACATAGTTGAGATAACTAATCTAAAAGTTCTCTACATTTTAGAGTCTGCAGACTCATCTCTATTTTCAAACATGGCTGAAACAAGCTTTTTTTTATTGCTGGTTTGAACTGAAGCACAAAAAGCAATACCTGCATTTTGTTTCAAACCAGTCCATTATGTCATAATGTCTTCATTATGCACTAATATAAAACACAATTAAAAAAAAACCCCAACATACTCTGGTCTATTACACAGCCTGGTGGTGCTCTTGATTCCACCTCCACAAGTTCTTGAACATGAGCTATAAGGTCTCCATGCTCCCCATTCTCCATCTACAGGACGTGTCTCCATTTCTCTGCTCACACAAATTCCATGGCGGCAGTGCTGCACAGTTGACAAACAAAAGATTTATAAATCAAGCAAAAGGTTATTGAGTATTTTGGGCACAGAAAGAACAAAATTCAAGAGATCACTGCTCTTAATCTGGGTCTGGACATTTTCTAAAGTATTCAGATTCCTTTAAAATATCTTTGCTCCCTATGAATGCTACTGGATGCTGAATATATCTTTAGGACTTGTCACTTTATTCAAATGCCTACATAAGAATCTCAAAATCCTGATCTTTAATTCCTGATATATTTTCATGCGTAGCATAAACTTCAAAAATAGATTTATAGTAATCTTGTATGTATGAGATTCTTTCAATTTAATTTAGAAATTCAAAAAGTGAAAAGTTATTATAACAAATCACCAAGAAACTCAGGGTGTTTTGAGCATCCCGAAAACTAAAAAAGCTAGCAGGATTCTTTGGGAAAAACACCCAAATTTTCAAGCATTTAGTACCTTGTTTATGCTGAAGCCAGATGATGCTACAGATTCATGTTTAAACTCAGATCTTCACACCTATAACAATAGGTGTAAAATATTTTATATTTTCATTTATATTTTACAATTTTATATTTACTACTAATTTGACAACTTTACTATTAACATTAAAATTTAATTAATATTTAAAGAAATAATAATTCTAGAGGAAGATACTACACAGTAATGTCTAGTGCGTTACTTGAGATTTTATTCC